ATTTATGTAAGTCTCGTACCTTTTGGCCGGGCCTGTACATTGCATCCAGAATGTGGAGAACATTACAGTAACCTATGGAAAGAGATTATACATGGATTGCATTGAACAATCAGTACAGGTACAGGTTGTCCTGAAAACCCCAGAATACACATCAACACTTATGTAGGTAATAAAAGAGGAATAAACAAGATACAAAGTTAAAAATTGCCATTTGTCCAGTCTGCATTTACCACACCTACCATTATCCCCCGAATCAAAGATTAGCCTCCAAGGGGGAAATTATTAGAAATTGGGTGGCTGCATAAGAACAGACGTTGAGAAGGACCAGGTCCCATGACATCATCATTTTGAGCCATAAATACCCATCGTTTCTGGAATATTGCCAGGCATCCCTACCAGTATAGGTCAGTTTTATGAATGACAGCATTCATAAAACTGGGCAGCACAGTGGCTAAATGGTTGGCACTTCTGCCTGGCAGTACTCGGGTCGCTGGTTCGAATCCCAGCCATGGCTCCACCTGCCTGGAGTTTCTATGTTCTCCCTGTGCCTGTGTGGGTTTCCTCCGGGTAATCCGGTTTCCTCCCACACTCCAAAGACATGCTGGTAGGTTCATTGGATCCTGTCTAAATTGCCCTAGTATGTATGAATGTAAGTTAGGGACCTTAGATTGTACGCCCCTTGAGGGTTAGGGACTGATGTGAATGTACAATATATATGTAAAGCGCTGCGTAAATTGACAGCGCTATATAAGTACCTGAAATAAATATTATGCGGCCTTTCTCAAGCAGGGTGCCACAGCACCCTAGGGTGTTGTCTGTTCTCTTTAGGGAAGCCATCAAAAATAAAGTAAAATTTCCAAAAATGTCAACAACTGGTACAGGGGATCCACAACATCGACTGCTATGAAGCAGTTGGCCACCAGCAACTTAGCCAGACAGCACGTTTCAAATTGCAACAAGCCGGCAGGCATACTGGGTGATGTCACGGACCAAGTATTGTCATGATGACCACATTTGATCAATGACGTCAGCCAGCATGCCCGGCCCCTTTATTTACATTTAGTCGCTGGATAGGGAGATGTCAGTCAAGGCAACAATCTGACAGAAGCTGATTGTCTAGGCAGTCGTGTCATATTTTATCCAATGGGCAAACGTTGTTCTTTGGAATTGATCATTTACATCGCTGGACCGTGTGATTGATGATAATTTTACATCGTGGGACTTTTTTTGGGTTTATCAAAGGACCTTGTTGTCTTTGAGATAGTCTGCATCTTTTTTTTTGTGAATATGTACCCCTCATTCATTCACATGGGGCGGCCATGTATCTGGGGGCCCCTTATTTTAAGGGGCTTTTAGACTCCAATGTATCCTCCTACATTCATTGGACCAGGGATGTGGGGATGAAGCACTTGTCCCCGTCAACATGGGGACAAGGTTTATCACTTGAGGGACCCCCGTCCTTGGCAAGGCACCTTCTGAACTGTGGCCTGGTATGATTCAGGAGAGAAGAGGACACTCACTTGTTGCCCCCCACTTTCCTTGCTGCATGCACTGATAGGGGTCTGGTATAGATTTTGGAGGGGAGCCCCATGTATTTTATTTTTGGTTTGTTTGAAGGGCATCCCCTTAAAATCAATACCAGATACCAATTAGGACAAGGGTCTGATATGAACTGGGGGAAAGGGATGGGGGTGCCAATCAGCTGCAGCCACTGTTCAGGTATTGTCTGAATATAATAGCTATCAGTGGGAGATTCATCCATTCACAAAACCTATGGATTTCTCTCATTCAACCTGCTGGGCTGAATAGGAGATATTTATATGTGTATAGCCGGCTTTAGTCTGTTGGACTGTGAAAGTCTTAGATCCTCATCTGAAGACTGGTTCTGAGTTAGCGAGTCAAAAGTATTAAAGCTAAAGCATTAGCATGACTGCCAGGCAACTAGCATTTTCAGAATGAGAATTCGGCAATGCTAAACTCCATAGAATGGATTCCTTTAACAAGAATGGGGACAGAAGCCTCCAAGAAAAGTCACAAGACTCTCTGTAGTTAAAGTGGTTGTAAAACCCAAAATTAAAAAAAGAAAAAATGTAATTAAGCAGTTTACCTTGTACAGTAAAGCATCACAAGTCATCTGTGCCGTCTTGCAAAGAAGTGTGAATCCATCATTGTGAAATCCTCTCCGCTTTCTTGCAGCGTTATAACCCAACACATGACAAAAATTGGTGTCGCCACACCCCCGCTGCTCTGACATTCCGTATATCTCTCATGTTCGGGCATTAGAGAAGGGGGCGTGTCCAGCATTCCAGCAACAGATCGCTCCCCCTACACCTTTTAGATCTCCCACGGTTGGCTGCTTTGTGCCTCAAAATTATTGGCCATGCTGATCATGTGGTGCCTTCCCCGATTTCTGATTGGTCGCTACTCGTGAAGGGGCTTGCCAAGCCAACGTGGCTTTGTGCCGTCCTGCTGTCATCCAGATGTCGTCATCCATCCTCTGCATGTGACATGCGTGCACAGTGGTAACTGCCGTGCTCGCCCCCTTCAATGTCCGTGTGCGATGCTCAGCCACGCTAGTGTGCTTGCCAGGGGGGAGTGCAGAGATGGGAGGGGAGTCCTGTGAGGTCACCACTCAGCTCCCGAGCGACGGCATTCAGACACCCACCAATCCCCAATATTCACAAGGCTCATACAGGCACAGGGCAAAAGAAAAAATTCTATTGCATTTGGATATGTGGACACATTACTACATTGCCTTTGTTTTATATAAAATGCACTGCAGGTTTACAGCCACTTTAACCATTTCAATACCGGGCAATTTTACACCTTCCTGCCAAGGCCATCTTTCACGTTTCAGTGCTCTCACACTTTGAATGACAATTGCGCGGTCATACAACATTGTACCCAAACTAAAATGTTATCATTTTCTTCACACAACTAGAGCTTTCTTTTGGTGGTATTTAATCACTACTGGGGTTTTTATTTTTTGCTAAATTAACAAAAAAAGACCAAAAATTTTGATTAAAAAAACACGTTTTTCTTTGTTTCCGTTATAAAAGTTTACAAATAAATAATTGTTCTTCATAAATTTAGGCCGAGATGTATTCTGCTACATGTCTTTGGTGAAAATAACCCAAATTAGGATGTATTATTTAGTTTGTAGGAAAGTATAGAGTTCACAAACTATGGTATAGATCTGAATATTGATCAATCCTGAAGTACTGACGGCCAATCTAATTTCTTGAGGTCCAAGAATGTCAGAATAGTAATTTAGTCATAATTTTTCGGAAAATGAAAAAATTAAAAAAATTATTTTCACTATTTTTTTTTTTACATACTGTCATCAGTGCAGTACAGCGTCATCATATAACTGGCATGGCGGTGAACAGGGACACTGACTGGTGACAGTGTGAAAAGATATATTTTTTTTAAAAAAAATTTATTATTTTAAATTTATTACATTTTTTTCCTTTTAAGATTTTTTTTTCATATTTCACTATGACCAAAGTAGTACAATGTTACCATAGTAACATTGTACTACTTTGAGGAAGTGATCAGTATCAGTTTTTTTTTTTTTTTTTTTTTTACACAATTTGCTTATAGCAAAGTAATTCTTTTCTATAAGCAAATTGTGTAAAAAAAAAAAAAAAATAATAATGATCACTTTCCCAAAGTAGTACAATGTTACTTTGGTCATAGTGAAATCCATCCATTGTATACTAGTGTCTATAAGCAAGCATTTACCTGAATGACATCGATTCATTCAGGTTTTTTTTTTTTTTTTTTTTTTTTGTGCTTAGCTGTGATTTGGCCACAGGTAATCACATGACATGTGCATGTGATTAGCTGTGACCATTCACAGCTAGACACTAGTATACAATGGATGGCATGAATGAAGCCATCCATTGTATACAACTGTCACGTGACCTGCTGTGATTGGTCACAGCAGGTCACATGGTACCGGCAACGGGGCTGGTACTCAGATCTGTCATCGGCCGTGTCCGTGGTACACGGTCGGTGACAGATCGCGCCGCTGCGCGGCCCTGCAAGCACGCGAACTGCGCATGTGCGGGAGTACGCCAAATGGCGGCCTCCCAGAAAGCTAGTGCATTTTTCCGGACGCCATACGGCTATTGGCTGGGTGTCAAATGGTTAAAAGCGGATTTCCACCTGAAAAAAAAATAAATAAATAAAAGTCAACAGCTACAAAATCTGTAGCAGATGACTTTTAAAATACAGCCACTTACCTGTCCCTCGGTCCAGCAGTGTCCTCACCACCGCTAGTTTCACCAGCGGTCTACTCTCCCTGCCACTGGCATCTTCAGTGTGGGCACGTGGCTGTGACAGCTTGCGGCTTCACAGCCAGGTGCCCACTGCGCATGCGTGAATGGCCCCGTAGTCCTCTGGGACCTGACACGTGTCCCAGAAGACAACAGGGAGGGAGGGTAGGACGACAACTTCTGCATTCCGATCGCGTAGGCGATCGAAGCGTAAGTGGGAGCAGGTACCTGTCAAATTCGGGTACCAGCTCCCCAAAAGGTGCCAATCCTTAATGGGGAGCGGGGGAAAAAGGCTTAAAGCGGAACTTCCCCTTTTGGGTGGAGCTCCGTTTTAAGTAACACTCAACCTCCTCTTTCTCTGTAGAGTTTCCACCTCAAATTATATATTCAGAAATATTCAGAAATACTGTACAAATCATATAATAATAATAGTCAAGTATCATGGTGATTTCTAGATTGTAAGCTCCAAGGAGCAGGGCCCTCCTATCCCTCTTGTATTGAACTGTATTGTTGCTGTATTGTCTCCGTTTATATTGTAAAGCGCTGAGCAAACTGTTGGCGCTATATAAATCCTGTATAATAATAATAATAATAATTTCTAAAAAGGGCTGAGCCTCTATAAAAGGCTGACATTTTTGTGGTCTCCAAATACTGGTCACCCATCTCCTCATCAGAATAACACATGGCATAGATCCAGAAAGAACACAAAGTAATACTTACAGTTCAAAGCCCACTCTGTATATTACGGGCAGTGGATCACCTTTCACTTCCACCGGATCCCACCTCATAATGTGCTTCATATTGTAAGAGTCAACGCAGACATTGCTTGGGGCAGGCAAACCTATGAAATATAAAGAACTATTAACACAGCATTATTCAAAGTCAGATCAGCAAAAAACAAAAAAACATGTTATTCTGGTCATAGGTGGAAGCTAACTGATTGATTCACCAGCTGGTTGGTTCCTTACATCGTCCTTGGAGCACCAATGGGGAAATTTGTGCACCTATTACTCTGGTCACTGCAGTCAATGGAGGCGTCCTTCAATCCCCCCATCAATTACAGTATATTATAGAGAATGCAGCAAGAAGAGTGAATAGAGGAGGGAAAATGAGAACAGTACCATGGACATGTTCATCAAGAGACCTTTGGCATGTTCAGGAGTCATTCAAAACCAGGTTACTTCAGAAGCTGCTAGAGGTTACTTGAGTTGTGGTTGAGTGGCCTTCCATCTGATGGTGCCTTTATGAGCCAATGCAACATTTCAGAGCAAGCAGCATGACGCCGGATACCTTATTAACTGTCTGTAAGGGTCGCAAATCTGGCCACCACTGAAAGATGGAGTTCACTCCACTGACCACCAATGAAAGGGGCATTACCCAAGACATGGAAATAATTTTAAGGATTCCTCTGAAGAAAAGGTTGCTTTGTATGTAAAGCGTAAGGCACCGGCTGGCAGGGTTGTGGATGACGTACGTGTCACCTAGGTTTCTCATCTACAGATAGTGAGAGGCTCCAGGGTTTGTTTCTGTGATGGAGAACACTATTTTTTTTTTTTAATTCTGTTCTGGGTCCTAGAACCTGGAGGTTTTGCAGAGCTTTGGGTGGGAAAAAGATTTCATTTCTATGTCATCTTACCTGGTAGGTAAACTTCATTATCAGGGCTCTCTCTCAAGTGTGGGAACCTGCTGATGGGTGAAATGGCTGAGTGCTGACAGAACACTATAAAAGGTGCACGTGGTGTCTGTTTGGGGAAGCCATTAGGGGACCCTGTTAGTCAGGAACTGACCTGAGTTTAGACAAGCAGATGTATTGTTTGTTTTATGGTGTGGAGATGCTGTACAAAGACTCTCTGCATTCATACTCCTGCTTTGCTGCCTTGCTGAATGGGATTGCAGTACACACCTACCTGGCCTGTTCCTGGGTGTCGCTGTCCCAAGCTACCACTACCAGTTGTGCTTGTGACCCTTAGTCCTCATGCACACTGGATGTTTTTGGCTTTTGACTTTTTTTCTACAGCCAGTAAACTCCCCCAGCATGTTATCATATGTGTTCATGCACACATAGAATGTAACCAACGTTTTTTGGCAGAGACAGTTTTTGGCTGGAAAAAAAAAACCCAGCACGGGGGGGATGGGGGGGGGACTTTAAAAAAAAATATATTTAATGTTTTGGTTTTTTTTTTGCACTGTTCCTTTAAAAAAAATTGTCATTTTTATTCCTATCACAAGGAATGCATGCATCCTTGTGATAAAAATAATTAGTGACAAGTCCTCTTTATGGAAAGAGTAAGACCCCACATCTCTCCTCCCTCTGCAATGTAAAGCATTGGATAAAAAAAAAAAAAAAAAAAAAAAAAAAAAAAAAAAAAAGAAGGATTGATCTAGTGTTTTAAAGAAAAAAAAAAAAAAAAAAAAAAAAAAAAAAAAAAAAAAAGAAGTGACATTGTTTCCTTCACGGCCATCTTTCCTTCATTCATCTCTATGCCCAGCACCAGGATCGATGGTAAGGCTGAGAGAACTACAGAGCGGCGACCGGTAGCGAGGGGCGACAGCGGCCGGGCAGGCAGCAGCAAGGGGCAGCAAGATTTTTTTCGGCACCTGTATCGGTGCTGTTTTTCATTTCGGCCAATGGCTGAAATGGGTGTGTTTCTGGCTGAAGCGTTTTGTCCACCGAAATTTCAGTGCACCCCTAAAATACACTAAATGAAATGGAGACAGACACCTGCAGCATTGGCATCAACAGCAAATGTCAGATTCCAGCCATAGGAGTCCAGCCAGGTGCAGAACGTGCCTCTGTCATACTGATACAAGAAGTACAGTATGCACGTATAAAACACTAGGAGTAGAGTACACAAGTACAGTATGCTAGAAGCAGTATACAAGTACACTAGAAGTACAGTACACTATAATCCACATCACTGTGGTAGTTCATTGAGAGCTACAAGCCAACAGGCACGAAGGCTGTCCGGACTTGTAGTTCATTCATACACAGAACTCTGTGAATGAATGAAGCGGCTGTGTGGGCGGAGCCCCACGCAGCTGCACTGTTTTTGAAAAGTGACAGCTAGTACGGGGAACTTCTCCCCATACTGCTGCCACAGGGAGAGGGGGGCAATCAATCCCAATCAGGCAGCGGCTGCAGCACTGGGAACAGGTTACATGTTCCACCCTAAAAATGGGTGGAACATGTAACATGTTCCACCCTAAAAATGGGTGGAACATGTAACATGTTCCCAAAGGTGAACTTATCCTTTAACCACTTGTCCTCCTGAGGATTTACCCCCCTTAATGACCAGGCCTCTTTTTGCTACTCGGTGCTGCACTAATTCAACTGATAATTGCGCGGTCATGCAATGCTGCTTCCAAACGAAATTTACGTCCTTTTTTTTCACACAAATAGAGCTTTCGTTCGATGGTATTTGATCACCTGTGCGCTTTTTATTTTTCACACTATAAACAAAAAAAGACCAAAACCTTTGAAGAAAAACAATATTTTTTACTTTCAGCTATAAAAAATATATAGTAAACTCAAAGTTGGTTATAAATTTAGGCCAAAATGTATTCTTCTCCATGTTTTTGGTAAAAAAAAATCCCAATAAGTGTATATTGATTGCTTTGTGTGACAGTTATAGCGTCTACAAACTATGGTATAGATACTGTAATTTACACCATTTTTTTCCTATACAGCGCTGCGCTAGTTTAACGGACAATTGCGCGGTCATGCAATATGGTACATAAATGAAATTTACATCCTTGTTTTCCCACAAATTGAGCTCTCTTTTGGTGGTATTTGATCACCTGTGCGGTTTTTATTTTTTGCGCTATAAAAAAAAAAGGCTGACAATTTTGAGGAAAAAAAAAACAATATTTTGGACTTTTTGCTATAAAACATGTCCAGTAAAAAAAAATTTAAAAATCAAATTTAGTCATAAATTTCTGCCAAAATGCATTCTGCGACATGTCTTTGCTAAAAAAAAAAACCCCAATACGTGTAAATTAATTGGTTTACGTGAAAGTTATAGCGTTTACAAATGGCGGGAAAGATACTGGGATTTTTAATTTTTTTTCATACTAATAATGGCGGCGATCGTGATCAGCGACTTATGGGGTGCGGTGCGACTTATCAGCGACTTATGGCGGGACTGCGGCGGACATTCTGACACTGGGGGGGGAACTGACTTGGGGTCACTGACATCCCCAGTGACGACAATACAGTGATCAGTGCAAAAAAAAAAAAAAACCACTGACACTGTACTAATGGCACTGGGGAAGAAGGGGTTAATTTTATTATTCAGTGAAAGGGTTAACTGTGTGAGGGGAGCGTTTTTACTAGGGGGTGGGGGTGTGTACTGCAGGGAACACCGCTGATCGGGAGAGAGAAACTCTTCTGTCCCGATCAGCTTGTCAGGAGCTGTCAGGGAACTGACAGAAAGCACAGCTACTGCAACTGTGCTCTCTGTCACTGATTGCCGCTAATCGACGGGACATAGCCAGTAACGACCGGCTGTGACCCGGCGACTGACATCAGCGGCCGTGATCGGCGGGACAAGTAGGGCGGTGGCGCGCCTTGCGCGCACCCCTTACCTGTTTTAAAAACACACGTTTTAAAACGTGGTTTTGCCCAGCCGTGCCGCCCTGCCGCCGTATTTCTACAGTGGCTGGGCGGCATGTGGTTAATCTACAGAAAACCACCCGGCGATTCAGGGGTGGTTGGGTTTTAGGGGTGCTGTATGTATCCATGATTCAGGTCAATCCCTAAATATGGGTGTAACATGAAACATGGTCAAGGAGGTGAACCTGACCTTTAGGCCTTCCGTATGTCCATTTTTCATCTGTCCGTTTATGGATGAATTACGGACACCCATGTATTTCTATGGACTAGCAGATCATCTGTTTACATCTGTTAATGTCCGCATCCGTTAACATCTGTTTTTTTTTTTTTTTTTAAATGGAAGAAAACCCTATTTTTCTTCCGTAAAAAAAACAGAACGGATGAAAAACGGACAAACGGTCCGTTTTTGCATTGGTAAACGATGTAAAAAAACAGATGTGAACTGACGCAAGATGAATGTAAACCGATCTGTTTTTTCTTTGAAAAAACGCGACTGGACTGATGAAAGAAACAGAACGCTCGTGTGAAAGGACCCTTAACTGCTCTTCCTACCGGTTAGCTTATCCACTTCAGCTCCAGAAGATTAACCTTTCCTTCCTGACCAGGCCATTTTATGCTATACGGCACTGCATTACTTTAACTGACAATTGCGCAGTCATGCAACATGGTACCCAAAATCAAATTTATGTTCTTTCCCCCCCCCACAAATAGAGCTTTTTTGTAGGTGGTATTGGATCACCTCTGCGGTTTTTACTTTTTGAGTTAAACAAAAAAAAACCTGACAATTTAAAAAAAAAAACAAAAAACATTTTTAATTTTCTATTATAAAACATCCAATAAATTTTTTTTTTAAAAAGCCAATTTCTTCAAAAATGTAGGCAAAAATGTATTCTGCTTCATATTTTTGGTAAAAAAAAATCCTTATAAGCGTATATTGACTGGTTTGCGCAAATGTTATAGTGCCAACAAACTTATATACTGGAGTTTAAAAAAAAAAAAAAAAAAACGTTCTATACTAGTAATGGCGGTGATCAGCGACTTATAGCGGGACTGTGATATTGCGGCAGACATTTTTACACTAACTGACACTTTATGGAAACCAGTGACACTAATACAGTGATGAGTAAAAAAAGTCAAAGGAAGTGACGAAACACGTCAGAGACACGTGACGTCTGACGCATCAACTTCAAACCGGAAGTGCGATCGCGGCCATTTTGAAAGTGGGAACATGTGGTTACTGCTCCCTTGTTTGATTTTGTTTAACATGAGGAGCTTCTCTTTTCAAATCTGAATGTAAGTTACTAAATAAATTGGTTTTTTGCATTTTGATCTGCCATATCTAATTGCTGATTTGTCCATGAGGAAAATGGAAGAAAAATCTATAAGATTATGAAGAAAGATGTTTTCCCATATCTGTGATATGCCCTTGTGATATACCCATAGGGTAATTATCCACTACTACACGAGTTGGAGTATTTTTGTGGTTGAAAAGGGTTTAAGGGTATCAGAAGTATATAGAGAGTGTGGTCATACACACAAAAAAATATTTTTTTCAGGGATTTGTTGCAGTGGACACGATTTGAGTGTATCACGTTTTTAAATTTGATTTAAATTTAATTTAAAACATCACGTTTGAGATTTTGGATATACATTTAAATTTGTGGAAGCAATCCTTTTTTTTTTTTTTTTTTTTGCATGTTGCACAGTGTGTGGCACATATTATTATGTGTTAAAGGCTATAACAATATTGTGAGTTTGTTTTTCTTTGAGGTTTATGGTCACTGGAAACATCATGGAATAAGAAAGATATTTACTTGAAAGAAGAAAATTGACTTTTGTGTGTGGTGCTTAAGACATTGGGGTATTTAGTTGTTATATTGGACAGTTGTATGACTAATGACACTAGTTGGGAAGGAGAACATCTAGGGCAGTGGTTCTCAACCTGTGGGTCGCGACCCCTTTGGGGGTCGAACGACCCTTTCACAGGGGTCCCCTAAGACCATCAAAAAAACACATATTTTCGATGTGTAAAGAGCAGCTACTGTGTAGAAAGCAGCTACTGTGTTGAAAGCAGCAGTATTGGAGGTAAAACGACACTCAGAATTATAAATTACTGGGTAAATAATTTTATGGTTGGGGGTCACCACAACATGAGGAACTGTATTAAAGGGTCACGGCATTAGGAAGGTTGAGAACCACTGATCTAGGGCAATCAAAGGGTTAAGTGTGTGCCTAGCTATGTGCTGGTGTAACACTAGATGATGCTGGTACAAGAGAAAGTGATGGATGGTGTTCCTAGCTCTGCAGGAACGCACAATTGATCACTTTCCCCTGTCACAACAGAGCTGTGCTTATGTAAACATAGGCAGAGCTCAGCTCTTCCTCTCTGCCTGATGATCTGTGGATGCAGGTGAAGAGCTGATTGCCAGGACTCGAAGATCGACGTCTGCTGTGACAGTTCACAGCAGAAGCAATCTGCCGGCGACATGCGTAAAACTGCTATAGGGTGGATGTAGAGTGATTAGCTGAGGTTTACTTGTCTACCAACACATTTTATTGAATGGACTTCGAACAAGGAATCCATGAAGAAGGTCAGACATCCACCCTCATTGATAATATCAGAGGGGTGGTGTGCCCGGGGTGCAGACATTGATACAGAATTCCTGGGGAGAGGGCGACTAAACAAAATGCTCTGTGTGTAGAGGATCACAAGACTGAAGGAAGATCTGTATACTGTCTCTCTGAAAATGGAACCTTGAATACAAGAGAACTGTATCGCTGCAACGAAAAGAGGAACTGTGATGCTGCCGCATTCGCATTGGTTGGATGAGGAACTATTTTGCACCGTGTACAATTTGCTGTAAAAGTCCCCACAGACTCAGTAACTGTGGTTTACAGCCGACTCCATTTTTGGAGTTCATTTCGGAAGCTCTAGAACGGTCTGCCTCAAACATTTTAACTTAGAGGAACTTTGAAACTAATGTTTCGGTCCCAAGGAAACCCTGCTAATATCTGCTCTATGTACAGCTCGTGGTGTGTACGTGTGATCATCAACGGGACGATCTCCCCCCCCGCCCCCCCCCACACACACACACACTACAGTAGTTACTTGTCAGAGGCAGAAATTGTTAAAGCGGTATTAAACCCAAAAGAAAACATTATATTGCAGCTTACCAATTCTTAGATGTGATGGCTGCATTAGTTTTCTTTTTAAGATTTTCATCTGATGATACTGCCAGTAAATCTATTTTTCAAAAGAACAAACTCTCCTGCAGAAAGTATGAGTTACAGGATTGAGAGAAACCATTTAACACTAGCAGGGGTGCTTGCAATGATCAGTTTTTATTTATGTAAAACCTTTATCACAAAACGAAAAAACAGTTTGCTGTGCTGCTGTCCAAAGGTGCCCTGTGTGCTCTTTCATCCGGAGTTTGTGCAGTCCAATACAAGAGGTGTGTTACTGGCCAAGTCACAGAGGGGAAAACAACGTAAAAATAAAGAAAACTAATGCAGGCACAACATTTAATGATTGGTAAGCTGCAATATATTACATTGTTGGATTGGGGTTTAAAGTGTTACTAAAGGTGATTTTTTAAATTAAAATAACAAAAATGTTATACTATCCTGCTCTGTGTAATGGTATTGCACAGAGCAGACCCCAAACCCCTTCTTCTGCAATCCCTCGCCAGCAATCTTGACACCTCCTATTTTCCATGTAACCCCATAGCAAGTCGCTTGCTATGGGGAACACAGTGCGTGCTTGCTCCCGAGCTGTGTATGCCTAAGGAGCCGCACTGCATAGACACGCACAGCATGGCTTGGCCCAGCCGCCTGCTTCCTCCTCCCTCCTTAAAGGGGATGTGGTTAGAGTCTGAGATGACTTACATGGTGCAGAATGTAGTAATGTACACTGTGGAGTGTACGCCGGTGTGTAATACGTGCAGGAGAGGAGTGTGCAGTATGAGTAGGTGCAGGAGAGGAGTGCACGGCGGTGGGTAGTAGGTGCAGGAGAGGAGTGCACGGCGGTGGGTAGTAGGTGCAGGAGAGGAGTGCACGGCGGTGGGTAGTAGGTGCAGGAGAGGAGTGCACGGCGGTGGGTAGTAGGTGCAGGAGAGGAGTGCACGGCGGTGGGTAGTAGGGTGCAGGAGAGGAGTGCACGGCGGTGGGTAGTAGGTGCAGGAGAGGAGTGCACGGCGGTGGGTAGTAGGTGCAGGAGAGGAGTGCACGGCGGTGGGTAGTAGGTGCAGGAGAGGAGTGCACGGTAGTAGGTGCAGGAGCAGTCACATTCACACTGAGCCTGTTATAGGATAGCACACATTACACAAAACCCCTCCCCCATACTACCCCTATAATTTAACATGACCCCCTCCCCCATTCTAGCCCCGTCATTGCACAGGACCCCTCCCCATACTACTCTCATCATACAGCTTGGGGGGGTATATACCGGTATACTGCTGGGGGGGTGGGGGGAGGGGTATATACCGGTATACAGCTGGGGGGGTATATAGCTGGGGGGTATATATCGGTATATAGCTGGGGGGGTATATAGCTGGGGGGGGTGGTATATAGCTGGGGGGGGGGTATATAATCGGTATATAGCTGGGGGGGGGGGGGGTATATATATATAGCGGTATATAGCTGGGGGGGGTATATATCGGGGGGGGGGTATATATAGCTGGGGGGGGGGTATATATCGGTATATAGCTGGGGGGGGGTATATATCGGTATATAGCTGGGGGGGGTATATATCGGTATATAGCTGGGGGGGTATATATCGGTATATAGCTGGGGGGGGTATATATCGGTATATAGCTGGGGGGGTATATATCGGTATATAGCTGGGGGGGTATATATATCGGTATATAGCTGGGGGGGTATATATCGGTATATAGCTGGGGGGGTATATATCGGTATATAGCTGGGGGGGGTATATATCGGTATATAGCTGGGGGGGGGGGTATATATCGGTATATAGCTGGGGGGGGGTATATATCGGTATATAGCTGGGGGGGGTATATATCGGTATATAGCTGGGGGGGGTATATATCGGTATATAGCTGGGGGGGGTATATATCGGTATATAGCTGGGGGGGGGGGTATATATCGGTATATAGCTGGGGGGGGGGGGTATATATCGGTATATAGCTGGGGGGGGGTATATATCGGTATATAGCTGGGGGGGGGGGTATATAGCTGGGGGGGGGGGTATATATCGGTATATAGCTGGGGGGGGGTATATATCGGTATATAGCTGGGGGGGGGTATATATCGGTATATAGCTGGGGGGGGGTATATAGCTGGGGGGGGGGGGTATATACAGCTGGGGGGGGTATATATCGGTATACAGCTGGGGGGGGTATATATCGGTATACAGCTGGGGGGGGGGTATATCGGTATATAGCTGGGGGGGGGTATATATCGGTATATAGCTGGGGGGGTATCGGTATATAGCTGGGGGGGGTATATATCGGTATACAGCTGGGGGGGGGAGTATATATCGGTATATAGCTGGGGGGGGAGTATATATCGGTATATAGCTGGGGGGAGGAGTATATATCGGTATACAGCTGGGGGGGGGGGGGGGGGTACATATCGGTATATATCTGGGGGGGTATATACAGCTGGGGGGGGGGTATATATCGGTATACAGCTGGGGGGGGTATATACAGCTGGGGGGGGGGGGGTTGGGGGGGGTATATACAGCTGGGGGGGGGGGGGGTATATATCGGTATACAGCTGGGGGGGGGTATACAGCTGGGGGGGTATATACAGCTGGGGGGGGGGGTATATACAGCTGGGGGGGGGGGGGGGGGGTATATACAGCGGCCAGTCTCCATAGTGGGTCAGCACTCACCAGGCTCGGTGTCGGAGGGGAGGACAGGCGGCAGTAGGGCGATGAGAGCCGGGATGAGGAGGAGCAGTGCGGGCTGCATGTCTGTCCGGAGCTCCGATGGGGTAGTCCGGGGTGGAGGAGGATCGGGTGACCGGGAATGGTGCAGCGGAGGCCGGGGTGAGGAGGAGAGAGCTCCGGTAGCAATGACTGGATGATCCGACCTCTTCCTGCTCGCCGGGCTCCTCCTCTCCTGGAAGGGATTTCCCGTCCGCAGCTCCTGATGACTCATCGCCTCTCCCGCCTGCATGGAACAGCCGCTCCGCCTCCCGGCCTCGGCCCGCACAAGTCCACATCGTGTCCCCCGGGTCCGGAGAAGCAGCTGCCCTACAATCCTCCTGCCCATCCCTCCTGTGTGCCCACACCGGCCCGGACATCGCATTACTCCCTCTATGTCTGTCCTCTGACACCCAATACAAATACCAATAGGAAGCATGACCTGTCTGTACCCTGGGAGCCCATGGGAGGGGGGATAGTCTGCAGGACTCACCATTCACTGATTACAGCTGCAATGAAGGTCAAAAAGTTGAGCAAAGCACTTTTTTTTTTTTTTTCCATATGCATTTATTATTTTTTTTTAAAACGTGATCTACAATGGGGAAAATAATGAATTGATCCCCTGGAGATTTTGTCAGTTTTTCCACTTACAAAGAAATGAAGGGTCTATAATATTCTGTCATAGGTGTATTTTAACTACTTTCCCTCCTGAGGATTCCCCCCCCCCTTCATGACTAGGCCATTTTTTGCATTACGGCGCTGCGTTACTTTAACTGACAATGCAATGCTGCAACAAATGAAATTTCCTTGTTTTTCACATGAATTGAACTTTCTTTCAGTGGTATTTGATCGTCTGTGCATTTTTTATTTTTTGCGCTATTAAAAAAAAAAAAGACCACTTTTGAGAAAAAAAAACAATATTTTTTACTTTTTTCTATGAACCTCTTGCCTACAGGGCACTTATACCCCCTTCCTGCCCAGGCCAATTTTCAGCGCTGTTGCACTTTGAATGACAATTGCGCTGTCATGCAGCACTGTACCCATATGAAATTGTTCTCTACTTGTATGAAAAAAATGATATTTCTTTTGGTGGTATTTAACCTCCCTGGCGATATTCCCGAGTGTAGCTCGGGGTAAAGTTTCAGCACCACAAGCGGTAACCCCGAGCTACACTCGGGCTTACCATGCGGCGCTGCTCCGGGATCCCTCCAGTGCTTACCTTGTCCTGCACTCCCGCAATGTCCCCCCTGCAGTGTCCCCAGCAATGTAATCCGGCGGATGCCGGCATCTGTCTTCTGGGTTCCGTTCCCTGCGACGTCGGGACGTACGGGGGACGGAACTGGCAGGAAATTTGAAAATGACAAAAAGTGACATTCACTAAATACACTACAATCACATAGTATAACATTCCTGTATCAAATCATTTCACATACATTTTGTCCCGAGTGCTTTGTCCTGTGCCCTGCCTGCATTTTGACTGTTCTTTCTGCCTGGAAACTGAGAAACGTCCATGGCGTGCAAAAAGCGTCCCTTTAGGTCAAAAGTGGTTTTAGACCGGCTAGAGAACAGCGATAGTAAATTAGAACAACTTGCAGAATTGAGTGATAATGATTCGTGGGGAAATTCGTCATCAGACATTGAAAACGATTTTGCGACTTTGCTCAGTGATGTGCGAACTTGGCGCTATATTTCAAATTTCAGTGTTTTTGGTTTGATTATATTATTGAATTACATTTATTATTATTATATTATTATTTTTTATGATTATTAAATTATAATTTATGATTTCGTGTTTCAAGTTTTAACATACCCGGGATGTTTACTAGACTCTTGTTTGGACAGATTTCATGAGTTATTCCTAAAAATTACAGGCCTATAATAAAAAAACTACATATTTCCATGCAAAAAAATGTACCGCTTTGAGCACAGAAATATGGATATAATCATACTCCTAGGGAGGCTAATCGGCACTGGAATTTTTTTTTTGCGGAATATGACGCCCTCCCAGAACTGGACAACTGCACTGTAGCCATCATTTGGCTATAGCGTGGTTGGCAAGTGGTTAAACATGTCCAGCAAAAAAAATTTAAAAAATCAAATTTCGGCCAAAATGTATTCTGCGACGTCTTTGCTAAAGAAAAAAAATCCCAATATGTGTAAATTAATTGGTTTACGTGAAAGTTATAGCATTTGCAATTGGCGGTATATATACTGGGATTTTTTTTTTTTACTAGTAATGGCGGGGATCAGCGACTTATAACGGGACTGCTGTGGGTATTCTGACACTGGGGGAAACTGAGTTGGTGTCACTGACATCCCCAGCGACACCAATACAGTGATCAGTGCTAAAAAAAAAGCACTGACAGTACTAAAGGCACTGGACAGGAAGGGGTTAACATGAGGGGCAATTAAAGGGTTAACTGTGTGCTGTTTCACAGTAAACTCTGTGTTTGTGCTTCACTGTAATCACACTGCTTTGCATGGCTGTCCTGTACACAGCCATGCAAAGCAGTGTGCATGAGCTGACAGGGAGGAGAACTGTATTGTTTACATACAGTTCTCCTCCCCATCGGAGATCCTCGGCAATCACCATGCGACAGTGAGTAATCACCGGCTGGGACCCGGTGATTGACAGCCTCGGCTGTGAATGGCGGTGCGGGTAGGGCGCACGTGCCCCCCTACCTGGAAATGTAAACTCATGTATATATATTTGCGCACCGTGCCATGGATGGGTCTTCCAGTTTGACAATGACCCAAAACATACCGCCAAGGCAACAAAGTAGTGGTTCAAGAAGAAGCACATTAATGTCATGGAGTGGCCTAGGCAGCCTCCAGACCTTAATCCTATAGAAAATTTATGAAGGGAGCTGAAACTTCAAGTTGCAAAGTGACAACCAAGGAACCTTAAGGATTTAGAGAAGATCTGTAAAGAAGAGTGGACAAAAATTCCCTCCTGAGATGTGTGCCAACCTGGTAACCAACTACAAGAAACATCTTACCTCTGTGCTTGTCAACCAACAAGGGTTTCTCCACCAAGTATTAAGTCATGTTTGGCTTATTTTACACACTGAACTGCAACTCAATTAATAACATTTGTATCGTGTTTTTTCTGGATTTTTGGTTGATATTCTGTCTCTATCATTTAAAATACACCTATGATAAAAGTTATAGACCCTTCATTTCTTTGTTAGTGGGAAAACGTACAAAATCTGCAGGGGATCAAATAATTACTTTCCCCACTGTGTGCCTTTAGGCCTCTTGGACACCACTGTCTAAGGTCCGGTTCACACTATAGAAACGCAGTCCAGATGCATTCCAGATTTTCTGCATGCGTGTTTTTGGCACATTCTGGTGCATTTTTTATGCTTTTTTAAATGTTTTTTTCCCCCGCTTTTACTTCAATTTAAATAGGAATGTGTGCATTCCGGTGCGTTTATAATGTGTTTTACCACATTCCAGTACAGTTCTGTGCAGAAAAAATGCAGCGTGTTCTTTTTTTTTTTTCTGCAACCGGAATGCACTGGAACTGCAAGCACTGATGTGAACTATGACATTGACAACCATATACCCTACTTTCTGTGCATTTTTTGATGCAGAGAAAAAGCAACTGAAACACATGTAGTGTGAACTGGCCCTATAACTAAGAGTTTCAGACCCCGTTCACACCTGAGTGTTTTTGAGGATTCGAAGCTCAATCCTCAAAAGCATTCAACAAGTAAATTATTTCCAATGGCCCCTGTTCACACTTGAGCATTCTGTTGTTTGTAGCAAAACACCTGTCGCTCCAAAAAGTACTTGTGCTACTTTTCAGGCAGATCTGAGCATTTTGTTCCCATAGACTTGAATGGAAAAAGCCTTAACAGTGGGAATGAGTATTTTTTCGAGTATTTTTGTCTTTTCAGGCATTTTCAGCTCAAACAGCAGCTATTTCTATTGGCCACAGCAAAAATGCCTCAATGAAAAAAGCCTGAAAAAAGCCTATTAATATTTGCAAATCTGCTCTCAAAAATGTCTGAAAAGAACCCTGGAAAAAAAAACGCCTGAAAAACGCTCAGCTCAGTGTGAATGTAGTCTTAGGCATACAGGTGTGTTTTTTTGTCTTTTTTTCCATTTTAAAAACTGTGCCCAAAAAATGTCAACTTCAAAAAAACTCACCATGCCTTTTCCTAAATACTTCACTACTGTGTGCTTCCAAAAAGGGGTAATTTTGGAATAGGATGCTGGAGGGGGGCGGTATTTTTACAATCTTGGCATTTTAGGGCCTGAAGAAATGAGAGGCTGTCATTACATCAGGACCAGGGGTGGACTGACAACTCATGGGGCCCCCGGGCAATAGGGGATCATGGGGCCCCTGTGTCCTCGCCCACACTCAAACCACACCCAAAAAAAGCCTATGAAAGGTACCAGGGGCATCTCATGGGGCCCCCTACTGACCCCGGGCCCTCGGGCAGTGCCCGAGTTCCCAAATGGTCAGTCCACCCCTGATCAGGACTGATATATTTTCAAACATACTAAATATACTGTATATACCATAGCTTGTATACTCTATAGCTTTCACACAGACTAAATAAACAGTGTGTTGGGTTATATTTACCAAAAAATGTAGCAGAATACATTTTGGACTAAATTTATGAAGACAGATTATTTGCAAAATTTTACAACGAAAACATTTTTTTGTTTTCAAACTTTCAGGTATTTTTTCATTTATATAGCAAACAATACAAAAACCCAGTGGTGATTAAAGCGGAGTTCCACCCAAAAGGGGAAGTTCGGCTTTAAAGATTGGTTCCCCGCTTCCCATTAAGGATTGCCACCTTTGGGGAGCGGGGGGGGGGGGGGGGGCGGGGGTACCCAAATTTGACAGGTACCCGCTCCCACTTCTGCTGCGATCGCCTAGGCGATCGGAAGAGGAAGTTGTCCTCCCTCCCTGTAGTCCTTTGGGACACGTGACAGGTCCCAGAAAACTACAGGGCCATTCAGGAAGTGCAGCACTACTCGCACATGTGCAGTGGGCACCCGGCTGTGAAGCCACAAGCTGTCACAGCC